AAAGTTCTAAGTTTCAATTTGGGCTTTTAACCTGCCCTTAAAAATAACGCCATGGTACTAAAAGGATAACCAAATAGCACCCTGCCGAGACTCCGGCGAACGCGCCTGATTCGTTTTAGTGCGCGAATATAACGCCCTATCTTATCCATTGTCTATCGCACGGTTAAGAACAAACGTAAGCGCCATTGCGCTCACGAGAAAGCACAGGGTACGAAAGCGAAACCTGCAGGTGTGATATAGTCAACGATTACTTTTGCTCCTTGTGTCTTTAGTGTATAGCTTTTTATTTAACGAAGTAAGCACAATAGTGCTCGCAGGGGAGCCCGTGGCGCTTCTGGTCGGGCAATCGACTGGACGCCAACTGTTGCGCTTGTTGAAGTTTTACGGCTGAATATAGTCGTATCCGTTACCCGCTATGCAAGACGCCCGATTAACTGATGCCAAGTGCTAACATAGCCGCCAAATTGTGTATTGACGAAAATTGCATCCTCCCGGGCGCCGTACATAATAACTTTGAATTATTTTGTTCACAGAAACCTTCTCGGGAGTATTTTCATCACCTCCCCAAAGTTTCATGGCACTCGGATGAACAGTGTCGAACAGCATCCGTCTTTTTTTTTATATACCGTATATTGAGAAAAATCGCAGCCTCCCGGTGCGCCGCCCCTGCGAAGTTGAATTTTTCTCCCCGCAGAAACCTTCCCAGGAACATAGTTAACAACTTCCCAAAGTTTCATTGCGATGTGACGAAAGGTGTAGTAATACATAAAAGACAGACAGACACACAAACATACATTGCTTTATATATATATATATATATATATATATATATATATATATATATATATATATATATAAATTCGCCAAATTGGACCCTGTCGGTAGCCCGCGAACGCTTACGATTCAATTTGGTGAATGACTAAACGCCCCATTGAAATTTGTTTTTCGCGGAAACCTTACCAGGAGTATTCTCAACAACTTCTCTAAGTTTCAGGGCGATGAGTTGAAAGGTTTAGCGATGCATCAAGACAAAAATAAATGTGACGAAATATATTAGGAATGCGTTACCAATCATATATTCTTAGACGCGTGACCTTGTTTTCTAAAATTGAGTTATTTAAATGTTAAACATGCCTGCGCTTGGATCATATTTATATTTATCGGGACACGGGTTTCCTACACTACCGCCCAAAAAAGCCTGGAGTGCCAGATCGCACCATGTTGGGGCGCCGGCGTACGCGCCTGATTATGTTTAGTGAACGCCATCCTATCAATAGTCTGTCTAACTGTTTGAAACGAACGTAGGCGCCATAGCACTCACGGGAAAGACCGGGGCGCCACATCGACTTCTGCCGGGGCAACACGTTCGAAGTTAAATACCCCCTCCACACCCTCAGAAACCTTATGGGGAGTATTCTCATCAACTAACCCAAAGTTTTAATGCACTCGGTGTCGAACCGCAATCGACTTTTATTTTAGATACCGTATATAGAGAAAAATCGCACCCTCCCGTGGCGCCGCCCATGCAACTTTAAATATTTTTTTTTACAGAACCCTTCCCTTGAGTGTTCTAATGAACTCCCCAAAGTTTTATGGCGATCGGATGAACGGTGTGAAACCACAATCAACTTTTATTTTTATATACCGTATATAGAGAAAAAATCGCTCCCTCCCGGGGCGCCGCCCTTGCAAAATTATTTTTTTTTTGTTTGCAGAACCCTTACCTTGAGTGTTCTAATCATCACCCCAAAGTTTCATGGTACACGAATGAACATGTCAAACCGAAATCGACTTTTATTTTTTATATCCCGTATATTAAGAAAGAAATGGCGCCTCCCCTGCGAATTTGAATTTTTTTTTTCCGCAGAAGTTTCGTGGCGATCGGATGAAAGGTGTAGAAATGCATAAAAGACAGACAGGCAGTCATACACGCACACCCACACACACTCACACACACACACTCACTGCTTTATATATATATATATATATATATATATATATATATATATATATATATATATATATATATATATATAGAGAGAGAGAGAGAGAGAGAGAGAGAGAGAGATAGATAGATAGATAGATAGATAGATAGATAGATAGATAGATAGATAGATAGATAGATAGATAGATAGATAGATAGATAGATAGGATAGATAGATAGATAGATATATAGATAGATAGATTGATTGATTGATTGATTGATTGATTGACTAGACAGATGACTAGACAGATGATTAGATAGTTTGATTAGATAGTTTGATTAGATAGTTGATTAGATATATTAGATAGATGGAAAGAAAGAAAGAAGATGGAAGATAGATTTGAGTAAGTTTAGGGGAGATCACTCCCGCTTTTTCAAAGTCCATTACTACATACAAGCTTGTTTTAAAAAGTTTTTATTGAAGTTTTTATTGAAGTTTTATTCCTGAATTGTAGTTTATGTGCGGAGTGCAAAATTTGAGTTTGCCTAAAATATCTGTTAACTGATTTTCCTTAAAACATTTAAAAATTAACAAATCATGTGTGATCGGTGTTTTTAGTTTAATTGTCAGACCAATTAATTCAACAACAAATATCGAGTAACAAAAACAAAACATCGTGTACATTAGGGCAGTGGTTCCCAACTTTTTCGAGTGAAGACCCCTTTTATAGAAATTAAATAACCCGCGACTCCCATAGAATTAAAACGTCAAAATTAGTGTGGAAATTAATAAGCACTAAAATAAGATTTATGTACGACTCATTCTTGACAATTGTTTTAATACGATGAGTAAAATGGCATGTTATTAACTAGCCTCAACATTCGCGGTTGTGTTTTTGTTAACGCCAACCTCATCTCAACATTTAATTTATTTCTTTATTTTGTTTTTAATTGGAGAAGTGTTGAAATCTATTCTTGCAAAGATATGCAGACACAAAAGGAACTAAAACTCGAAAGGCAATCAATTTCACGTTTGGGTATAAATGGTGCAAAGTACACCAAAATTGTTTGAGCAGTTTTTCATCTGACGCGGAATCATTTCGCAAATTTAAGAATCCAGTCTTGTAATTCATCGGGAATGCTCGCAATGTCAAGGGAAGCAGTTCGATGCTAAGAAATTCAAGATATCCCATCTTTAAAAAATATTTTTTTTACTTCACGATCAGATTCATCGAACGTGGCAATATATCCAAGATTTAATTTTCTTCGCCAATTTTGCAGTTTTGATAATCATGAAAAGAGATAATATTCGTTCATTTTCCCAGAAGCTTCAGGTTAAGCTGATGTTGATGTTCGAATATATCTGCTAGGTATTATACTCTCTCCAACCACAATTTGTCGTTGAAGTACTTCATAAGGTCTCGATTCCCTTGCACTTCCAAGAACAAATTGATTTCATCTTTCAATTCAAAAACACGATTCACAACATTTCCATTTGACAGCCAGCGCACTCGAGTGAAGAAAAGCAGAACATTGTGGTCTTTATTCATGTTTTCGCACAGTTCTTTAAACAAACTGGTGTTTAGGGCTCCAAATTTAATATAATTTATGACTTTTATTAGCAATGAAGTCTTTCTGGTGAGGGCGTGCAGCGGATTTCCCTTGCTTTAGGGAGCTAAATCTTTTACTGTTTTCTGAAAGCCCGATTTTTACCCAAAGATGGCGCACCATCCATGCAGCCGTTTTCCCATTTTGATCATCCAGTTTCAAAAAACGTTTTTATTTTCTCCATGATATCTTCCCATAATAGCAACTTTTCTTTGCTAATATCTGAATGAATATATTTCACAAAGATAAGCAACTGCGAACACGAACTCACGTCTGTTGATTTATCAACTTGAAAAGCAAACAATAGTGAAAGCTTGATTTCATTAAAATTTGTCCTTTAACACCTACGGACATGTCTGCTAAGAGATATTTGTTGCATCTTTACTGCACTGGAATTCCCAAGAATTAATTTCAACATCTTCAACATGCAGAATTTGATGAGATTTTCTCATATTGTGTGAGAGGTTTTTTTGTTGGGCGATTTCTACAGCGACTTCATTTGATGCTTTCACTAACGCCGTGTTGCCTTGGTAAAAACTTCCTGTTCAATCAAGTCTCTGACATTTGCAACTAACTTTATGCAGACGAAAGAACTCCATATCGTTTTTGGTTCCGAATGACTCGTCTGAAAATGACGTTTAGTTTTGAAGGTTTCATAGACTCATGATTGAGAACAACTTTGCACAGTGCTCATTGCTTCTTCTCTATTCAATTTCCAGTGATGTTAGTAAAGCCGAATTTCAGATATTCTTCTAAATCTTTGGGTTTTTTTTCACTGCTAGAGTTTAGTCTACCAGTTGGCGACCCCCCCCCCCCCCCCCACACACACACAGAAAGCCCTTCGCAACCCACAGTTTGGGAACCCACGCATTAGTAGACATAAGGATACACAATTTTCATTCGAGTGGTTGTTTTATCTTGTTTATAAGTTTTGGACCTAGTGGTGGTGAAGTAGAGTTCATTAGTTTATGTGTCCACGAAACATGAAAAATAGTTTGATAAGTTTCATTATTAATTGAGAAGTCTCAAATATTTTAAATACATGCTAATCCCATCATTAATCGTGATAATTTCACTTGTAATATGACCTATACAGCTAAAAATAATATATATATATATATATATATATATATATATATATATATATATACATATATATACATATATATATATATATATATATATATATATATATATATATATATATATATATATATATATATATATATATATATATATATATATATATATATATATATATATATATATATATATATATATATATATATATATATATATATATATATATATATATATATATATATATATGAGAGATCTTTTTTTAACAACAAGAAGTATGATGATATAGCCTATATCTAATATGTCTGAAAGTATGTTTAATGTGTATTTTTTGGTCTCTTGTAGGCCTATAGTTGAGCAGCTAACATCATTCAAACTATATTTTCAGATTCCACCAGATACTTTTCACAATGTCTACACTATATCTGGATCTGCATCCTGCTATATGTATTTATTTACCAATACAACTGAAGCTAAAGTTAGGAAAAACTTTTTACAGTATCAAAAAGATAATGAGAATTCTTCAAGTAAGAATATGCATAAAAAGAAGTGGTTTAGTGAGAGATTGCAGCTAAAATTTAACACAAAAATTTTATTTGAGATACCGATAGCATTCTGTATTTTCAAATGTTGTATTTACTCAGTAAAAATGACGGATTGTGAAATTATAGAAACCCTCTGTTCTTTTTGCTATTCTTTTTATATTTAGCAGACCCTACCATCAAGTTAAATTTCTGATACGTCATAGTTGTTTTTTTGGCACCTTTGATGAATCAACATAATCTTGGTCATATTTTGCAATTATCACTGTAGAAAAATATATCTTTAATTGTTGTAAAATAGGGCCTTAACATCTTGTTTAAATTTTAATCACAAACTAGCTGTCACAGATTGTTCAGTTCAATTAGTTTTCTTTTAATTCATAGTTTCATTTTTGTTTAAAGTTAAAGAGACAAGGCGTTTCAGCGAAATGTACCAATAAAACTTCATCTTATAAAAGCATATATTGGTATAAAATTATAAAGTGTCAGGGTAAAAATCTAGAGATTATAAAAATAAATGATAATAAATAAACAGATGAGATATGTTGTCTTTTTTAAACATTTGGTTTATTTCAGTTGAAGAGACTTCAAAGAAGTATAAAAATGATCCATACATTCAGCACTATAAAGCTCTTATGGCGGAGGTGAAAACTGAAAAAGAGAAAGAAAGGAAAACTTTTATAGAAAACCTCAAGACCATCCTAATGCATAAATATGCTATGTTAAAAAGAGGGTGAGACATTAGTCATTTATTGCAATATATTTATCTGGGATACAATTTTCACTGTATCCAGTTTCGTTACACACTTCTTTTTGGAACAACTGTAGGGTGGTAACTTCCTACAACTTGTTTTTTAATGTTATTTTTTCCTGTGTTTAGGGAAATAACTAGCTTCTATATCTTTTTATATAATTTTTGTTAAGGTTTGAGATTCTTTCTGTGCAAGATATTCTATTTTAAAATATTACTTGTGCTTAGCACAATGTTTACTCTAATTGTATTGTCAATGATCAAGTACCTGGATTTAAATTTTATGCTACAGTTAGTAACGGGATGTTTATTAGTCATTTCGATGGTCTTTTTCCCGCTTGCTTCATGTATGACTTCTTCAGTAAGTGGTTACTATTTCTTATTGCTATATAAATAAATAAATTTTTGCTCCCGGGGACACTACACTTTGTGCATCTTTTTATAGGGCCTACACTTCTATTAAGTTAACAATTTCTGTTTGTGGCAAATTCTTGAAATTTAATTTTTACCCATTTCTAATGCCAAACTTTCCAGCTGCTTGCGTCTCCAATAAAAATGCAAAATTATCTAATTTTTATCTGAATAGACAATAGATGAATCATTAAGATTTAATTAAAAGCTTACTAAATTCAATAATAAAATTGAATGTAACATGAATAACTACTAGCGATTGCTGGATAAGCTAGTCGACCTTTCATCCTATCG